AGAGGGATAGACAAGCACGTAGAGATTAAGGAAAGAAGAAGGAAGGTTATAAACACGTATTACGAACTCATTAGTAGGTCCATTAGGAACGAAGCTAAACACATCCACGTCATGCCATTATCGCGACTCGAGCTCTAATTAGACCGCTCATTATGTCGCGTTTAAATATTTCCTTACATCGATGCCTATTCCGTATCATCGCGGATATGTGTTGGTTAGCTCGTTACGCTTGCGAGGTCCGTTTGCTCTAACTTCTATACCGCCGCCGGCGGACTCGTTGTGCAATTAATTCCACCAATTTACTTGAAAATTTATCGCGGCCGCGGCTACGGGGAAAGTGGCCTTCCCCGTACAAAGTCGCGGCTGATTTGGAATAATTAATTGCAAACAACGTCGACTCGATCGCGCTCATAATCCGCATATTGCGCGTGTTCGAGCGTAATTTGCGATTGATAAATGTCACGGTGACTGACGAGCTCGTTTAAATAATAGGAAATTAAAACCGGGGGAACGCGACACCGAGCATATCCAATGGTTTCATAACGGAGGCCAATAGCGACCTCCGTTCCTACCTATACCTATACGCGCCTATTATACTATACAATATTCCTGTATACGTATCGAGCGAATAGTTTATACGAGGTTCGCGATAGAGGAACGTTTGATTAGCATATCGAAATCGGGTGTGCGCGATCGAGACCGCGCTCCTCTTTCTTCCCGTCGAACGTTCTCTCGCGGTTATTAATCGAGCCACGATTTGTTCCGCGCGGAAAGGGAAAGGTTCTTGGCTCGTCCGTGTCAGCGGGAACGATCGCGTGGCCGCGCTTTCTCGTGGATTTAAGATAAAGAAAACGAGAGAGGTCCGAGAGGGGAAGCGAGCGAGCGAGCGAGGGTAAGAGGGTAAACGGTTATAGGAGGGTGGGAAAGGACGGCCGTGAAGTAAATAGGAGTCCTGCCCGTTCTGCCGTAAAATTGTATGTGAAATTGTGCGATGTGTCTTGCGAATTGAATCGCCGGAAACGACATTGATTTTATTGCTTGTTTTCAGTGCTGTATACCTCCTATCCATTCCCCTTTTTGCCTTCTTCCGATCTCGAATCGAGCTCCTTCGTGTTCGCCACCTCCTTCGTTTTTCTCCTCCTCCTCCTCCTCCTCCTCTTCGTTCCCCGTTATTTAAAATACACGCCAACGCACTTTCCAATCCATTCCTCTTCGTATTATCCATCGATCGAAATTTCGCTCGCTTTTCGTCCTCGAATATATTTCGCTCGAGCGAGTTATGACCGAGGAAAGAAGAGGGTAAGAGAGAGGAGGAGAGGATGTTCCGCAAGAAATCGCAGAAATCGTGAACGCACGAGCGATCTTTAATACGATGAATCATCCTGAGCCGGAAACTTTTTTGATCGGGGAATCGAGGAATCGGGGGTTTCGGCGTAGCGGCGACCGACCGGGTGCGATGGGATGGTTGCGGCTTCGACGGTCGGGACAAAAAGGGCCGTGAAAAATCGCCATCGGCCGGGATTAATTGGGCTTATTAACGCGAACGAAAGAACCGGGGAAAATTCCAATATCAGCCCACGGCCTCGCGAACATTTTTATACAGATAGAGGGCTGGTGGAGCGGGGCGGCTGGAAGGGGGTAGAGGGTCAGTAGCCAGGCATCCGCAGGTTCCGCCCATAATTTGTTTTCAATGATTTACCACGGGCTAATTGCAGAATGCAGCGAGCGGTAATATCGCTTTGCAGCGTTACGTCCGGGAGCTAGCTATACTTTAGTTTGCAATTTAAACTTTACTTCCTCCGGAATTGATTAGCTTTTAGTAATTAAGCAAGCAACGCCTTGGACCACCCCTACCCCTCGACGATCCACTCACCCACCCTACCAACCTGTGTTATACCCACCACCTTCAACCCCTGCCTCTCTACTCCTTCTTCGCCTCCTAACCTCCTAGTTTTCCCTCTTCTCTCGTTTCTGCTCACCGTCCTCGGACGCACACCGCTTCGCTTTCGCTCTCCTGCGCCTGCGCCCGAGCACGCGCGCGCTCCCTCATACAATTGCATACACGCACCCATACAACAACCGTACGCACCCACTTACGCGTATACACGCGAGCCCACCCAAACTTCCTCTACCTTCAATCCCCCGCCGCTCACTTTCTCTCTCTCTCTCTATCTCTCTTTCAACCCTTCGCTACCTCCCTTTTCCACCTTCCTTCCGTCGTCCTCTTTCGCTCTTTCCTCTCCCTCGCGTCTTCTCCCGCGTTCGCCCTCTCTTTTTCCCTCCTCCTCCTCCTCCTCCTATCTCACTCCTTCTCCGTCTCACCGCATCGCACGGGTGGGTTTTAATCAACGCTTTACGAGTGTGAGACAGAGGAAGTTAAGCCGAGGAGAAGCCCGAAGAGAGTAGCGGATTCTCTCGTACGTGTACACGCGCGAACCCTTCCCTGTCCGTCCGCTCGCGTATATATTTTTTGACGCGCGAAAACGTAACCCCGAACTCGGAGCCTCGCGTGTGTTTTCCGTTGAATCGAGTGCGAAGCAATTTCGGCAAGGAATGCGTTTCCCTCGATACCTCGTATACCGGGTATAGCTTGCCCAGACGGGACAGGCTCAACCAATTTCAACTTCCATTATACACCCTTACCCGATTCCGTGGACGTATTTCCAAAGTATGCAAAGCGACTGATCTGGATTTCCATGGTAATCTCGACGCTTTACGCCTTCCCTCTCCCATCCTACCGTCTATTCCCTTCGCCTCCCCGCTCTTTTAACACAGTTCCGATTCCTTTTGCGACCAACAACAAAACTGCCTTGCTCTGTCTCTTATTCATTCCTCCTTATCATTCTCCTAGATTTTATCTTCTCTCCTCTCGAGAAGATAATAAAATATTATTCCTTAGAAAAACCAAGTTTGTCGAGCGTGAATCGCTACTGAATCGATCCCCGAGCGAAGGGGATGAATAAATTACCGAACGCGAGTTTACGACTCCCGTTTTCCAAACCCTGACGATCACAGGTCGCAGGTTTCGGAAACACGCGGGAATGTAGCACGTGCAACAACGACGTGGCGGACGAATTTAAAAAACGCAATTTACGGACAATGGAACAGCGGTCGGGGTTCGGCGACCTTGTCGAGGATAGTCGGCAGCCTACGTGGAAACAGAAGGACTACGTTAGGGCCACGATCCTATCGTAGGAGGGGAAGCGATGGGAAAGAGAGGGATTCTCTCGCCTAGTCGCGAGCCGATTCCAAGGGTTTCTCGATAACCCTCCCCCGTTTCCTCCGCATCCACCGTTCCTCATCCTATCCCTAGACATCGTAAAAATGTTGTTTTTTAATTTAGGATACCGCCGCGAGGTTAATATACGGCTTTAATTCCAGGATTTCATTTAGGGGGTTAGTCGCCTCCGCGCGCTTCGAGAGAGAGCCGCGAGGGTGGAGGAGGGGGGAGGTTGGGAAGAGTATATCAGATACGGGACGGTTGAAAGGAGGGAAACGTAGGAGAGACGTGTGTACTCGAAAGACTAGAGAGTTGACCGCACTCGCCATTACACGGATGCCCTTTCACGCGGTTGTTGACCAAACGTTCACGAGACACGAAACACGATCGTTCGATTTCTCTCTACATTTGCGTATCTATTTATCTATTCGGGGGGAGGGAGAAAGACGATTATACAGGAGAAAATTTGACGATTAATGGAACGGAAATATTGAAGTAAATTAGATTATCTAATTGTTTAAAGGAATTTTCATCGGTTAATCGAGTGATCGTAATCGTCGAAGAAATTGGTCTCGGGTCGGCAAACGTTAACGCGACCTTCCCAGCCACCCTTCTCGGGCCAAGTTCGGCGGGAACGGCGGTCGGTCGCGCTAAGGCAATTAAAGCTCCACCCAATTAATGCCTCGGCGAACGCGGCGGGGGTTGGAGGCGAGCGTTGCGAGGGACGTTCTTCTCCCTCCCTCACTCTCTCCCTCTCTCTCTCTCTCTCTCTCTCTTCCTCCTCTTCTTTCTCCCCCTTTCTCCCCTCCTCTCCCTCTCTGTCTCGCAAACAACGCCTTCTTGCCTGGCAGACGCCGCGCGGAAATTTCATTCGGCCATTGAAACGTAAATGTACGCCGCGGCGAGCATTTCATTCGGCCGTTGAATGCTACGGATTGTCCGATAATGCTCGATTTATACCACGGCCAGATTCAAAAGGACGACGTTATATTGTGTAATACGGGGAACCAGCTCATAACCGAGGCCTCGGATTTATTTCGCGGAACGTCGAATCAAAAACGAGCGGCCCGTACGCTTCATTCCGCTTCGAGTTACGCCAACGATCGTTTCGAACGAGTCGCGCGGTTAACGCGGGGAGAGGGGGGAGGGGGTGAGGAGAGAAAAAAAAGCAGGGTGTAAAAAGCAGTTCTCGAGTACGCTACGCGGTTCGTGGAACGGACGTGAAACACGTGAAACGGAATCAATGGAACCTCGTGACTCGATTTTTCGGAGATCGTAACGTATGAAGAGTAATTTCGAAGTAATTGGAAATGTAACTCGTCTTTGTAATCGAAGAAAAGGAGAAGATACGATTTCTTGGTAAAACGAGTTATACGTGAAAGGTAAAACGATTTATTCCGCACGGAGCGTCTCCATTCCGTAAATGGATCAACGCGACAAGTATAAAATAACCAACGGGCTTGATACAACGAAAGCGCGCTGTCGCGATGAAAAAGTCGCTCCTCCTAACGTTAATTAAAACGTCCCGCATCGGAACCGGCATCAGCGGCCACGCTGAACATCGCGAACACCGAGTATCGACACTCCACCGTCCACGTCGATTCCGATGTTCGGGCCCCGCGAGTACGCCAATAATAAGATCTACCAATCGCGGCCGTTTCGACGCGTCGTAAATCGATTTAAACGGCTAAATCGATTCATCCGCTTGAACGGATATCCTTTCGAATCGCGATTCGCTTCGATCATATTTATTTTCAAAAGAAATCGGAAAGGTACTCACCGTTGGAATTGGAACGAGATCACTTAAGGGAGAATCCTTAAACTTCCAACGTATGACGATAGTTCCCTCGATCAACTGTGGCAGACACTCGTGAAACACACTCGACTGAACGGAGCCAGTCCTCGATCGGAACGGGATGGAACAGAAACGAAGGACGTGACCGGACGAAAAGAGTGCGTAGGAATTAAACGGAAGGAGTAAAGGAGTGGGGAAAAAAGGGAACGGAAGAGGTGATGCTGTCTCGATATCCAACACTTATCGTTCGAGTCACTTGTCGCGCGATATCGATCGATCGTACGCGTGCCGCGGTGTCTCGTGCGATGTAGAGCCGCGGCACGAAAGTATAATTCAATTCATTAGCGGGTATGCGGTGTCGTGCACGCGGTGACGTATCGGTAATAGCACACGATGCGTCCGATGTGCGCCGCCGCCGAAGATTGAACGATAACGGAGCAATGGTATGAACGGTGTGGCCGATAACGGGAGAAACGGGAGCGAGCAGGGGCTGCCGGTTAGCCCGCAACGGCAGCTCACTTCGGAATGAAGAGAAACGCGACGGTACGCGAGGCGACGCGAGACCGCCAACCACTCGGCGCACTCTCGGCTAGACTTTGCTCGGCACACTCGTCCGGCGTCTCCTTGCTTCTCGTCCTCCGGCCGCCACTCGTCGTTCCATACTGCGACGTCATTTGGCACGTCACGCGTGGCCGTGCGCATGCGCGGTTGCCCGCTCGGCGCGTGTCGCGTGAATTCTCGCGCACCGCGTTCGCGTTCCGTATACACGCATCTAGTAATACACGCGCTTTGTAATATACACAAGCCACCTTTATCAATCGGAGAGTCGCGATTATATATACCGTCGCGCGAGATTAGCAAACCGCCAATTTTACGAAAAGAATATCGCACGAGAGGATTAAAGATAAGAAAACTCGAGATCTCAATTGTCGAGAATTGGAAATAAGGATCGAAATAGCACGAATCATCTTATTTTCGCAACGTATTAATTCGTACGGGATATAGAATTATGGAAAAGTTAATCTTTTTTTTTTTTTTTAACGATTAATTTACTTACGGATTAACAAAGATTTTTATACCGTTATATCGTATTCGAGAAAAATCCATCTTGACGCGATCGGGAGGAGGGGAGTGGGAAAAAATCAAGAGATTGAGTTTCTCATTAAGCTGCCGGATCTTCTTTTGTTTCCTGGCCGTAGTTAAATTCCGTTGAGAGAAGGAGGAAAGAGAGAATCGGTTCGTCGAGCGCTTGTTTCAATGGTAACGACGAATTAGATGACGTCGCGATTACCCGGTGATAAGCGAAAATATCCCAATAGGGTGGGCGGTGCGCCAGTACTGCAATAATTACTGCTAATGTAAATGTTCGTTAATGGGCGTTATTAAATGCAACGCGGTAAAATAGTCATCGGCGGCGTCACGGGTGTACAAGTTGCACCTATGCCCGCTAACCGGTCCAATTATAATAATTAAATGAACATTATAATTAGCTAATTAAATCAAAAGCATTTCGGTGAGGCGTGCGTGCACACGTCCGACACGTACGATCCGGTGGGTGTACGGGCGCGCTGATTTTCGTCGTGCGCGTGCTCCGTGTCCGAGGGAATAGGTATAAAGGTTTCACAATGACACTGGTAAGCGGTATTGTCCGGCTAGATTTTCTATGATTTTACAGGCCGACCGAATTTCAGGTCGGTTGAGATTACACCGATAATCAAATTGGACCCGTGGCAAACAAAATGACAGAATATCCAGTATTGTTGAAGCATCGCGTCGCATTAGGAGTTTAACATTGTCGGTCGGATCGCGCTCGAGGATACGCGTGTGCTCGCGCCCCGGGCGGGATCGAAATTTTCTCATTTCTCCCGATTTCGATATTGTAGCGAAGAACGAACGAACGAACGAACGAACGGATGAGCGAAGCGAAAAGCGGTGGATTATTCGACGGATTTTTTAATCGAATTCCGCGGGAGGTATCAACGTTTCCCGAAAGAAAAACCGGGTCAATTAAAATTAATGGATAGCGTAATTAGGAAAGTCGTTACGGAAACTCGCGCGAGATACGCTTCAATCCAATCAAGGAAACGAGTTCCTTTTCTCGTCTTTAAAAAACTATTAAAATCTCTGTTGGCTGAACGACCCGCGCAAAAACAAACTCCATCCCTCCCCCTCCCTCGACCTCCGTTCTTTCTCTTGATTCTATTCGTTTACCGGAGATGTTAACGCGTTTTCGTTCTATCCCGTTAACCGATCCCATTAGCCGTAGAGACATTGTGAAATCGAAGGAGAGAGAGAAAGAGAGAGAGAGAGAGAGAGAGAGAGAGAGAGACAAGGGTGGAAATATTTCCGGAGTTCGTTATCGACGAGGAGAAGAGGTTGGATTATTTTAACGAACGTGAAGGGAGAAACGTCTCGATCGCGTGATCCCTAATCGCAAATAATTGTAAGCCAAAGCTGGTGGTGTGATTCCCCGATACGCGTGTACACATATTACCCGTCCACCGATTCGTCTTTCCGTGTTGGTACGTGTGCCAACACAGTGTATATACATGCACAGGAAGCTTTGCAGGCCAGCCGGTTACAGTGACTCTCGAAAAGCAGCTCGTGTCATTAGTATGTTAATTGGTAACGGTCTGCCTACTACCTACCCGGCTGGCTGCCACATCGAGTTTCGTACACATATACGTCGCCGGGGCACGGCGTGTTTATACGTTAAGATGTTTAATCGCTTCTGTAATTATACTGTCCCTCAAAGGGTTAATTGTCCCATAAACCCATGAATACGTTAACGAGCGCGCCGTGCACCTCGCGAACATCGCCAAAGAACAAGGAGCCGAGGTTGGCGAGGGATCGACGGGGAAAGTTGGGGTGGCGAGGGATCGACGAAGCTGGAACGCACACGTGCAATCGAGGCTCGTCGCACGGGGAGGGGAAAAGTCAGTGGAAAGGGAGGGATGGCGTAGATCGCGTACCGATCTGCGCGGATTTCTCCAATTTTGATCAACGATGACCAACGATGTCGTTCGTTTCTTGGAAACGCGTAACTTTCGTTCTGGGAACGAGAAAAAAAAAAAAGAAAAAGAGAAAAGAAACGAAATATAGAGATCCGAGTTAAAAACGAAGAAGAATGCTCGTTTTTTATACAATAAAAAAAGGAATTGACTAGAGGAAGAGTTGATCTTTGTTCTCTACTTAATGCGAACCGGTATGGCATCGGAATTTCCAGGGAAATGAAAGTGTTGAGAAAGGAAACGACAGGGAGAGGGAGTGCATTGTCACTCCGTTATAATTAAGAAGATAGACTTTAAATCCAGAATGCGAAGCGAGGAGGAGAGGAGGGGCGGGAGGGGAAAGTCGAGTCGTTGCGGGCTAAACGAGTGGTAAAAGGCCGGCCTGCAAGATGTAGAAGGGGGTATGACGGGGCAGGAGGGAAAGAGAGAGAGAGAGAGGAAGGGAGAGAGGGAGGAGAGAGAGAGAGAGAGATTCGGATGGAAATTAATTCATTACTCTAATGCGTTGAGCGAGAGAATAGGCCGACAGTTGAAGCGTTGAGTGCCAAGTATTTCGCGAAAGATAGATGTCTCGTTTTCATTCCGAAAATTAACACTCTCCGTTACTTGCCAACCACCCAACTATTTTTTTGCTTATTCCACGGCCTGACCCATCTTGCTTAAATTCCACTTACCTTTGTTGCCTCTGCCCGTTCTTTATTTACCATTAAATTTCACTCTACAATAATTTTGAATTTCTTAATCGACCGGACATTGTCGCAATCGAATCGACGAGACGTTCGAAAAAAATTTAAATTCAAATAAAATTGGGAAAAAAAAAACGATGCAAACGATTTCCAAAAATAGATCGTGAATGGTTTTCTCGAAATGCTAATTGCTACACTTAGATCGTTTCAAGATAATCGTCATCGATGAACGAGAAATTGTGGGGCGGCACCGAAACGGGCAACGATAATAGTCCCGTTCCGGCAGCGATGAACGACCAATCTCCTTTTCCATTTAACATACATCGCTAATAATATCTGATTGGCGGAATCGAGCTCCACCTCGTCTTCTTTCTCTCTCTCTCTCTCTCTTTCTATCTCTTACTCCCTTTCTTTTACCATATTCGAACATACCATATCCGGATGATCTTTCGACAAGGATTTGTAGGATAGTATAGGTAGGTCGGCCAGGACCTGTAATCCGGCTATCAAGAGAATACGGCGGACAGGTCGAACGCGGACGTGTCACAAAGTCGTCCTAAAGAGTACCATTGGTACCAATTTAAAGCGAATATCGGCCGCGTTTCCGCGGATATACTATTATCGACTTGGAAATCGAAGTGATTTTGGACAAGCTTTGCCCGATCCCGCAACCCCGCCGACCGTTCAAACGGCCGTCACGGACACGTGTAATTAAATTTAACGCGCTACCCCCCTCCCCTGACCTTCCCCTCCCTTGACCCACTTCAACCATCCCCCATTTGTTTCTTTTACGCTATTTCTGTTTCACCACTTGCTCCGTCGACCCACTTTTGACATTTCAGGTAAACCCAATTCTAGGTAAACGCGGATATCTACCGCGTCGACTCCGCCGACCGTAATTTGATAATCGAACAGAAAGGATGGGCAGCGACGCGGCGCGGAAACGGCATTAAAATCGAGGAGAATCGCATATTGAAATGATAACGTCGTTTATCGGTCAGTCTCGAATCTATACGAACGAATACGGGGATTTGGAGATGGAGCAATTGCAATGTGGTGAATTTTAAAGAGGGTAAAAAAAGGGGAAGTAAAACTAAAAGGAGAAACGGTAGAAATGGTAGAGGAGCAAGAGAGCAGTTGTGGACATCGGGTATACCTCCGTAAAATAATTAAACGACGAATCGCGCATTTGTTGGAATTTAAATGCAGCGGTTAAGGAAAATGACTCGGTTCGCGCGCACTGTGTAATTTATACGTTCGAAAACGCGGCAAACTAGTTTTCATCGTTTGCTCGTGTCCAAGCCGATAAGTCGTCGGGAAAAGGAACGATTTCAACTTCGATCGGACGATCATTGAACGATAATAATGGAACCGAGGGAGCGCGCATCGATCCGTGTTTACTTTTTTAAAATTCGTCCGGACGGTCGGAAGGAAAGGGCACGCCGTGCCCTCGTCGCTCGTTGCTGATTGCGGATGCCTTCTTCACGGCCCCCGATGTAATTTTCTGAATGACTGCGTAATTAAAACTCTAATTTCCTGCGCTTAATTGACCGGAGTCTTGGTTCCCTCCTTACTCGCTTTCTCTCGCTCCTTACCTCGCGCGCCACTCACTCTCACCTCTCCCGTCCCTCCCTCCCTCGATCTCGTAAAACCGAACAACGGAGAAGACAGCGCCCGCCATTCTTCGCGCCTTTAACGCGAAAACTTTTTAAGCGTCACGCGCCTAAAAGGAGACGGCTTAATCGAAAGAAATTTACGACTTGGACGTAAATTTCTACGCGATCTCCGCGATCTCCCTTCCCGTTTTTATTTTTATTTTTCCCCCCATTTCCTCCGGCGAATTCTCCCGAACGAGGA